AAACTCCTTCATCCTTAGGATGTAACGGTGATATAATAATACGTTTTTTTAAATCGGATAAAAATTATGACCTCTATAGGGTCCACAAGCTAAAAACACGATTTTTCGTACAATCAGGAGCCATAATTCAGGAAGTTATGGTCCGATATGCGCGAATATTGAAAGGAACCGAGATCTTTGGGTTATAAACTTCATTTCAAGTTTCAACAAAATCGGATAACCAGCAGCTGCCAGGCAGGATACGCCCACATTTTTGAGAGATGGATAGAGAACAAGCTAACAAGAAAGTGATTTTTCCTACAATCAAGGGCCATAATTCAGGAAATTACAATTCGATATGCGCATATATCGAAAAGAACTGAGATCTTTGTGTTACAAACTTACATTTCAAGTTTCAACAAAATCGGATAAAAATTGTGACCTCTATAGGGTCCACAACCTTGATATACCATATTTTTACACTATTTGAGAACGAACGGCGGCCATTTTGTCTGTCAATTTTGGGGCGATTTTCACAAAATTCAAACTCAACTGTCCTTAGGGTGGAACGGTAATATAATAATACGTTTTTTTTAAATCGGATAAAAATTATGACCTCTAATGGGTCCACAAGCTAAAAACATGATTTTTCGTACAATCAGGGGCCATAATTCAGGAAGTTACGGTCCGATATGGGCAAATATTGAAAGGAACCGAGATCTTTGGGTTATGAACTTATATTTCAAGTTTCAACAAAATTGGATAAAAATTGTGACCTCTATAGGGTCCACAACCTTGATATACCATATTTTTACGCTATTTGAGAATGAACGGCGGCCATTTTGTCTGTCAATTTTGGGCCGATTTTCATGAAATTCAAACTCAGTCGTCCTTAGGGTGTAACGGTGATATAATAATACGTTTTTTTAAATCGGATAAAAATTATGACCTCTATAGGGTCCACAAGTTAAAAACGTGATTTTTTGTACAATCAGGGGCCATAATTCAGGAAGTTACGGTCCGATATGCACGAATATCGAAAGGAACCGAGATCTTTGGGTTATAAACTTATATTTCAAGTTTCAACAAAATCGGATAAAAATTGTGACACGTATAGGGTCCACAACCTTGATATACCATATTTTTACGCTATTTGAGAATGAACGCCGGCCATTTTGTCTGGCAATTTTGGGTCGATTTTCACGAAATTCGAACTCAGCCATCCTTAGGGTGTAACGGTGATATAATAATACGTTTTTTTAAATCGGATAAAAATTATGACCTCTATAGGGTCCACAAGCTAAAAACGTGATTTTTCTTACTATCAGGGGCCATAATTCAGGAAGTTACGGTCCGATATGCGCGAATATCGAAAAGAACCAAGATCTTTGGGTTATCAACTTACATTTCAAGTTTCAACAAAATTGGATAAAAATTGTGACCTCTAATGGGTCCACAAGCTAAAAACGTGATTTTTCGTACAAACAGGGGCCATAATCCACGAAGTTTCGATTCGATACATGCCAACATCGAAAGCAGCCGAGATCTTTTGGAGATAAACCTATATTTCAAGTTTCGTCAAAATCAAATAAAAATTGTGACCTGTAGAGTGTCCACGAACAAATTGTGGACGGACGGACAGGGGCGACGACAATATACGTCCACATGAAAATGTGGGCATGTGGGCGTATAAAAACAAGCCAACAGTGAGGCTAATGTCCACCACCAAAATCCCAAAATAAATAGATGACACATATTAATTAGATGTTATAGCACATTTATTTTTGTCAAAAGTATCAAGCAATCAAGAGTTCATTTCGGGACTAACACATGGTTCAATTTTATTTCAATAATTCACTTGCGCGTAGGGGTCTTTAGCAGTGGGAGGAAACAGGACCCGGAGAAAAACCAAGAGGTTGGACAGGCAACCCTACTCCTTGTCACGTATAACCGGGGAATCGAAACCCCGCCAGTTGACTCAATGACAGACCGTATGATACAGCGTGCGCGTGCTAAGCACTCGTCCATCCAACCCCCCTCAAGCAATCAAACTGATTATCAACTATACACTAAGTTTCATCACTCTCAATCAGACAGAATCAAAGTTATCTTGTCCCAAAGCACCGACCAATGAAATTGCTTAGCTCTGCTTAGCTTTAGTTTGAAATGTTAATCATTGAACTCAGACAAGACATTCATCTACATCAAGTTTAAACATTCTACCACCTCAATTAAAAGCAGGGATGTGATGTTCCAAAGTCTTAACCAATCAAATTGCTTATCGCTCCTTAGCCTAAGCAGAAAATTCTCATCATCTAACTTAGTCAAGGTAATGATATGATGTATCTATACTTGGAGTTTCATCACTCTCACTTTATCATAATTAAAGTTATCGTGCCCCAAAGCATCAACCAATCAGATTGCTTATCTCTGCTTACCGTAAGCAGACAATGTTTATCACTGAAGTCCATCAAGGCATTCACCTAATGAAAGCCTACACCAAGTTTGAACATTCTACTTCAATTATATAGAAGAAGAGTTATCGTGTTCGAAAGTCTTGGCCAATCAAATTGCTTAATGCTCTGCTTACCCTGAGCAGAAAATGCTCATTATCGAACTAAGCTAAGGTATTGATGTGATAAAACTATACACCAAATTTCCTCACTCTCACTTAATTTGAACTAAAGTTATTGCGTCCCAAAGCATCAACCAATCAAATTGCTTATCTCTACTTGCCCTAAGAAGAAAATTCCCATCTTCAAACTCTGTCATAGCATTCACATAATAAACATCTACACCAAGTGTGAACATTCTAGCTAAATAAAGAAGGAGAGTTATTGTGTTCCAAAGTCTTGACCAATCATATTGCTTATCACTCTGCTTATCCTGAGATTGAAACAATAAGGATAACTCGTGTTTTCCATTTTTTGCATCAATTCCCATTCCATCAAATCTTCCTTACGCATCTATCGTAGCAATGATCTCTGTGTTAAAATTATATTTGGAATGTGTTTAACCAGTTCTATCACATATGTGATAATGGTTGACACCAATATTGTCCTTTAAAGTTTTGCTGCAATACAATATTGATAATAGGAGACATTGTATATTTGATTAGACTTGATATTCCTATAGTTGAAATAGACCTGTTTACATTGCAGTAATTTTTTTTTGTAGTGTAAACGTACTGAGAACAGTTACAATTTGGACCACTGAATTGAGGCAGTCTTGGAACTGTTCTCAGTACGTCACGGTTAAATTTTCGAAATGTAAATGCTATCCGGTCTGAAAACGATTCTCAGTATGGATTATTGCACATGCGTCACATGAACATTGACCTCTAGTAGTGTGATATAAAAAAAAATAAAAAAGAATGGGCCAAACGTAACTAAATCAAAATTGTTTTCATCCGGGCAATTTGCACAGTGACAAAATTAACTTTTCTGTGAAGAGTTCCACATTTAGCGTACCTGGAAGGGTTATTGTAGTAATTTATCGTGGCCAGGGATGGTCCCAAGAACAGATCACTTATCACAGCCAAGTATAATGTGACTTATGTCACAGTCGGATCATTTATTAATTCATCCATTCTCAATCTATGCATTTATTAATTCATTCATTCTCGATCTACGCATCTAATTATTCAGTGAGCCACACTAGTCACCATTCATTTAATCATACATTCATCTAGCCATGCAAAATTTTGATGGAACTGATTGAGTTTTAACAAGTCTTTAGCAATTGGATAGGTAACTTGCAGATTAAGGCACAATCCCAATTTTGAAATGAAGTATTGTGTGCACTTAATTTCCATTTACATATTTATAGTGTAATATTACATTTATAATACATATAAATATTATGCCTTTCCATTACTGCTGAAATTCAAAATCCAGCTTATTGCTCCGGTTACCAGTTTAAGCTATAAATGGTAACATATCTTACATCCTAGCTTGCTCTGCACATTTTTGGGGAACTTTACAAAGCCAAGATAACGTTTTTCTGCTAGCTTAATTGTAATTGTTCTTTTTTTTTTTTTTTTATTGATCTACTTAATGACTTATTCTATCTACCTATCACATATTCATACACATGCTATACTCAGATGTAAACTTTTATGAATGAATCCAGAACTATACTATACTATATTAAATTTTCATTTTATTTTTCTGGTTTACACATTAGTCTGTATATTTTTGACAATGAATCAATAAAATACATTATAAATTGTCATCTTTTATTTGCAGTGTAGCCTACACTACCTAAAAGATTATTTGACAGATGGAATTCAAAATGGGCAAAATTTTCTGAAAATGGTTCTCTGTGCGTGTATTAATATGAACGGAACCTTGTGAAAAGAGTATTAAAGGCTATTTATGAACGACATGACTATTTGCATTTGTCTTCTCTAGTACATGACAACCAACCTTGAATAAGTTGACTAAGACTGCTAACTCATTCAAGATCACTGCAAAACTACTCATTGATTACTTATTTATTTTTTCGTATTTTCAATAGCATTAAGAAAATAATAAAGAACAAAAGATTTATTGTGGCCAAGTGTAAACATAGCTTATGTTAGTATTCAAATAATCAAAGTCTAGTATTGAGAGGCCTTAAAATCGATTCATTTCCCTTTAAAGGATGCACCTTCTCTTCATTCATTCATCAATCCATCTTTCTATCCACATTATCAATATCATTATATTATCAACTATTATATTCACTGGGTAGGAATATACTACTTTTCATTATCTGGGCATTTTTTGTCTATATCTATCTTTCTGTCTATCATATACTCAAAACCTACTAAATTATATAAAACACAATAATCTTGTATTCCTAATGCCAAAATTTTCATTCAGTACCGTAACATATTCTACAATACTCTTTCATTTCATTCATCCATCTTCCTTTTCTCAATAGTTATTCCTACACATTTTCAGCTTCTCAATCTCTTCATTCATCCATCTTTTGATCAACAATTCATTCACACATTTATGTTTATACTTACTACTTACTTTTGTATACCTAATATACACAAATAATATCTCTGTATTTTCCTCCTTGTGAATGAATCCACAACATTTTAAAAAACACAATTTGTAGACTTCACAGCCAAATCACGAAAAACATCTGTTTGGTTTCACAAGTTCATGATAAACCAATGCACCAAACAAGTAAAATAAACATAGAGTGGTTTCAAGATATGTATTCCTCATATTTCCTTTTAAAGATATCCTCTTCTACAACAACTCCAATGGCAGAATTTTCAGGAATCTTAATTTAAAAAACTGTTGTATACAATGCAAATATTTTTGTAGCTTCTTATTAATTTCATTAAATCATTTCACAAAACGTGTACACAAGTTTCATCATATACTGGGAATAAATCCAGTTTCTTAACAATGTTTTCACAAATTTCAAATTAACATCTGTTATGAATAAGTTTATATTCTTGTGGCATGACAGCAGAACTTGAATTTTATAAAATTCAAGATAAGACATACAAGTCTGTGCGGATATATATATATATATGTATATATATATTTATGTCAATTTTCACACACAGAAAGAAAAAACATACACAATGACGAAACTTTCACATATCAAACAAAACAGAATAATCTCCAACTTGACTTAATCTCTTAGTTTCAAATATATTGGAGAACCCCTGACCTGCTTCATAATATATTCAGTGTAATCTTGTACTGAGTGTTGAGAATTCTCCTGTTAGTATAGTAGCAGTCTAAGTGTGAATCTAGTAAGACTTAGTTACTCTATATACTACATAGTAACAAAAGTATAAGGTATATATATATATCCATGTACTTAGGATATCAATACAGATCTAAGCAAGTCGTCAATTGAAGTCTTATAGTCGTAAATTACTATACTCTCCAAAGTTAAGAGCAGCTGGTCTTTATGTAAATATATATCCTCGATCAGCCTAATAATTTACATGCACACTATGATACGTGTATTGTATTTGAATTAAATACATACATGAATATTCTATTCAATTTATTTGAGATATTGAACAAAGTCATTAAGAAGCTCACTCAAGCGTAGGTATACTGTATATCCGATTATTTTCTCATAGACATAAACTTTGTAAATCGTTGCTAAACAGTTTGAGCAATCTCTCTGTGGATTTCAACCGTTCTACTTTGTTCTACTTTGATCTACGTACATCAAATCCCAAAAAATATCTAAATAAATCTAATGAATGTCAATGTTTAATATTTTTTTCACAAAATCCAACCAAAGCAATTTTTTTTTTGGCTTATTTTTTTCCAATTTAATCAGGGTGCTGATGGAAAAGTTAAAATTGCTACATAAATCACATGGTATGTGCTTAATTTCTTTCCAAATTCTTTTAAAATTATTCCAAATCATATGCTTTTATTTTACTTTGCCAGGTAATCCTTCAATTAAAACTACAATAATTACTATTTCTATTCCTGTGGTTCCAATTGTTACCTAACTTTGTTTTGAATGGGACATGCAACATTCCCGTAAAATAAATATTTATCTAATGCACCAACACATAATGTAGTACATGGCTAGAAAGAAATTAAATTTCACTTTAGTTTTAAATAAGTAGCACACATAATATGGTATATGTGCCACCAACAATCCAACCTGTTTGCATTATAATAATACCATAGAAATAAATATTCACAATTTATTAAGACTGACTGTATCTCCAAAATATGCCCCTGCCATAATATATTGAATTCTTCAGATTTTTCTGTAAATTCTTGACAAATAAGATTGCAAAATTATACCAATCAAAAAATAAAATCGTCCTTATGTATCTTTTTTAGATACTAACCAGATAAAAATGTTTCACATTGATAAAATGTTGATTTAAAGCAGTTACCCAAAATTATTTTCTAGGTCCACAGTGTATCTCATGAACTTTGACATTTAAAGATGGCACATTCAAAATATTTATGCCTATGCATCTAATCCACATTTAAATTAATATGAAATCATAGTCAGCAATAGGCAAATCACAGAAAAGAAATATCCCAAATCTTCTCCAATTAAAGTGATGCAAGGAACAGCTTGTTCTCTATTCTTGAAGTACAGATAAGATACCAACCGTATCGCAGAACTGTGTTTTTAAAATATGGTGGCTTATGTCATTTAGCAGAGGAATAGTAAATAACTTGGTAAATGTTTCTTTTACACTGAGCAAAAATACCAAAATATATCACATATTCTTTTAAATCCATGTACCTTCATTAATGAGAAATAGATCCATGATAATCAACACAACACTACCAAAAGCAGCTGAATAATCAATTATGGCAGTGACACAGTAATTCCAGAATTATCCTAATTAGCAAACATTATTGTCAAATGGAACCACATGACACTGCCATGCCATAATCTTCTGTTTGTCAACATCACTTCTAATTCTATAATAAGTCAACAGCAACGATTATACAAATATTAAACGACCCTCACTGACGACACAATATGAATGAAAAGAGATGACGATGGCACTAGATGGTTGCCATACATGGTAACGTTAAAACTTCCCTCTTGAATTAAAGAGTTTCATGATATCTAATCCATAATTTAAGAGGATTAACGGTCATCGTCCATACTAACTAACAGGTCAATAACATAATATCCACAGTACAATGGTTTCAAGTAGTCGTTATTTGTTAAAATCTGTCAAGCACTGTTTCTGCATTTAACACGGTCTGTGTGCCATTGCTTCATTGATTGGTAGCTAGCCGGCACTTATACTGAAAGTCAGATCTGAGGAAAGAGTGGCAGCACATCCAACACTGCCAGCATTGCCATATTTATAAGACACAACACACTTCATGCCACAAACGACGACAACACTCTCTTCAACAATGGAAGATACGTTTCTGTTTCTGATGGCCTTAAGTCAATCTCCCATATTAGCTTAAAACAAACTGGGATAAGAGACAGACTTTAATCAAACCCAGGATTTGGTGCCATTAGTTGAGGCTACTGAAAGAATATATACAGCAGATTATAGCAGGATTCCATCGTAAATTATAGTTTAACCAATTTCAAGTCAAGTAAATGTCGTAGAGTGTTTTATTTCTTGTAAAGGGTTGTAAAAAGATGGTGGCCATCCAGACACATTTAGATAAAATATCACGATTATCACAATTGGCTTATTTCATAGCAAAACAAATAACTTTAAAGACAGATAGAAATGTTATACTATTATGCATTTCTGTACATATTTTTAAATTTAAAGTTAAAATGAACACAAAATAATATTTTTACAGAAAATTTAATTTAAATATACATGTAATTGTTTTTTTATTGACTATATAGGCTATAAAATATAAGCTAACATAACATTAGCCTTGGTACATAATGGTCAGTAAAGTATTGGCAAATATGCTCTATTCCAGTCCATAAAATATTAAATACTGGTAAACATATCGATGCCCCTAGGCTAGAAACTATAGGCACATATTACGTTATTCCTACCCATAGGCTCAAAAACGATTTAACTTAGCCATAGGCTCTGAAATATTGGCACATATGCCGCTGTCTCCGTCCATAGGCTCTAAATGATTGGTACATATGCCTCTATCCTGCCCCTAGGCTCTAAAATACTGGCTCATATGGCGGATAGCTCAAGTTAATAAACAGTCGTAGGCTCTGAAATATTGGCACATATGCCGCTATCTCCACCCATAGGCTCTAAAAGATTGGCACATATGCCTCTATCATGCCCATAGGCTCTAAACAGGTTGGCCCATAGGCAACAGGTTTACACATAGCATAAGTAGGTTAACAAAAGTCTACTTCAGTGTGGCATGAACTTAAAGAAGTATTAAGTTTTTACCTGCTGCAACAGGTTGCGCTACTAAATGGGTTGGTTGGAAGCGAGCGATAGCCGCCTCCCACTCCCGACAGTAAGAATCATTCAATACACAGCCGCCTTGAATACCTAACAGCTGTGTTTGAATCTCTCCCTCTGAAGGATGAAGATAAAATTGGCGTATATAAAAGGGTTTTTGTCGATAAATTGGCCAAGCCAATACACGTGGGAAGTCCCCAGAACTAATACAGTAGACATGGCTTGTTTTCAAACCCGGGCATGACAATGCCAACAAGCACAATGGCGGGAAAACACGCCACCCGCGAGGCGAGATTATAAAGACAACGAATGATCCTTGTAGGCGTTGACTCTCGAAGTTGGACCAAGATATGAAGTCACCAATAAACACGTAATCCGAGTTACAACCAAAGCACCTTAATGTCACCGTATGAACAATACCCGATGAATAATTAGAAATTTAAACCTTACAAATGTCACCAGACAAACCATGCTCTTTTAGGCAGTGTAGGAGCGCCCTCTGTTTAACCTAAACAGAGTTATCTTCCCCGCAAAGCCCATTTAGACTCTTGCATAAATGTCACTTTTTAAATTTCTTGCAGAGTTAATAAAGTTTGGCAATGATGTACCTAATATTATAAGAGATAAAGTTGAGGCATGCAATGTCTTCCAATGAAATTTATTTATGTAAAAAGGCAAAGTAAACTTATATCTGATACAGCCCACTCTAAAACCACCACTGCAAAAAACAATAGATAAACAAAACATATGTGACCCGGTATGTCAAATGTGTCGGAATGCACAATATCTAATTTTGAACTAGAGACAAAATAAGTGAAAATATTGATTTTGATCGAAATTGAGATTTTCACAAAAATGAGTCTATAAATATACTATCTATCAACACAAAAGACCAAAATAGCACTAAAAGATTTTAGAACACCTTGATTTGGACGTTTTGTAAGCCATATTCTTAAATCTGTCCTATTTCTTAAAATTCTCAGCGAAATTAGTTATTTTTCTTCGCTCGCAGCCGGACGACCACACATTCCTCTTGCATAATAATTGGCATCATTGTAAAGCGGAGAATCTCTCGTATACAAATATGACCAAAATATTGCCGATAAATTCGTTTTGAACAGATACAATCGAGTTTTAAAACCCCTAAAAAATATAAACAAACTCCGCTTGTTGCTATGCCGTCTACACAATTTGTTTGCTGATTGGCCCAGACACTGCGTGCAAAGCATTATGGTTACGTGGCTGGCTCGAGCAGATGATAGATATCTGGTTTTGGCGATAATGTTTTTGGGTACCTACATGCGATTCCCTTTGTTAAGTGGCAGAAAAAAAATAATTCTGATTGTATATAGATTGCCGTCGAGTGTTAATCAAAACCATGTGGCAAAATT